TTTAAACACATATTATCATTAACTAGAATTTGATTAGAATCATTATTAATTGTTGTGGGACATTGAGCGTATTGAATCATTGTTTTTATTTTTAATGGCCATACTTTAAAATTTGTTTCTTTGATTTGTAATAGACTAGCTGTACCTGATTTTAAATAATGATTCCAAAGAGATTTATCCAAATTAAGAACATTTAGTTGATGCATAAGAATAGTAATTAATCGTAATTCTTCCATGTTAATTGATCTTTTTGAATTATAAATTTTTTCATGAAACATATCTTCAAATATTTTCTTATTTTTCATGGATAAATAATCAGGGATCTATGATAGATTGAGAGAGAGAAAAAATTGTTTGTTTTCGGAAATTATAAATATAAAGAATAGGTATTATTACTTGAAGTATATTGTTGATATGATAAGAAATAGATTTGTTATCAGATGGAATCAAATTATCAGAATTACAAAATTCTAGTAATTCATCATCTGTCAGATCATATTCTGCTGTTCGTAATGATGAAAATTTTGATTCTTCAACCTAAAGTAGTAATATGAACAAGTATCTTATATGAAAGAGAAGAAGAAAAATAATATTCTATTTGTTTTACCATTTTATTTTGACGAGTTGGTATATATATGTTTTTATATCTAAAACACAGAAGAGAACAATAAAAGAAAACTACATGTTATACTCTCAATTCAAATGGACAACATAGACATAGAGATAGTTTCATATAGTTAAAAGAATGTGTTATCAGAAATAGTATTGTTAAAATTTAATAATCGTTGGGTACGTTCTTCCATATTTTCTAGACGAGTCTTGACAATACTAGACATTGATGGACTGAGTGATTTTATCGAAGATAATATATTTTCTGTTGTCCTATGGTAGATTATTGATGAAGACTGTCTTTTCTTGTTTTTTCGACGAACTGCTTTTTGACGTGATTGAAGTTTAGTACGCCAAATCTTTTGAACAGTCGATATCTAGAAGATTAAAAGAATGAAAGAACACGTAAAATATAAAACTAGAGAGAATAAAAGAAGAAAACCTGCTCCATTGTTGGATTTAAAGCATAGAATGATTTGACAAGATGTACATCATAAATATCAAATTCTAATAAGATTATCTTTTGTTTGAAATTGGTATGAAAAGGAGAGAGACTATTTTGTACAAGAACAATCAAAGCATTCAATATAATATTCATTGCATGATTCATAGCAGTTTTCGTTTCCATTTGGCAAGACAATGGATATGGTTGTTGTAAATGCATGTGCAAATGATTTTCTGCTTGTTGTAATTTATATTGAATCATTTCTCGTCGTCGTTCAATATTTGCTTTTGTTTTTGTATGATCCCAATTGATGGAATTTTGTCGAATGATATCTTTAGAAATTTCTAATAACCAAACTACAACAGGTACATTTGTTAAATTATTTATATAATTCCAATAATCGTGTTCAATTTTCAATTGAAAAACATCACACATGAATTGGGCACGTTGTTGTATGAATTTTAGCATTGTAAAATTCATCAAACATTGTTTAATATTCTGACGATCTCTGAGAGGAATTATTTTAATTAATACATCTCTAAATTGACAAGGAGGTAATTGATCATAATTTGGTATGAGTTTTGATATTTGTTTCCAATGATCATTACATAAATTATATCGTTTGATTTTCTTTTTATGTATTGTAATCGATGGTGGTGAAATCCATTCTCCAGTAGTTATTGATGATTCATTTGTTGTACTAACTATTACATTTTCTTTGTTTGATTCTTGATTTTCAAATAATATTGAGGACATATCAATAGGATCATTGTGATTGTGCATTGTAGAACAATTATCCATTTCTTTTGCATGTATCTGTTGATTATCTTGATGAATTGTTAATAACATTTTAATTGTTTGATTATTTACTCCATTT